TCCTGCACCGTTGCGTGTGCCTTCCGAAAGTGTCATGTGGCACTTGCTCTTCAGCAGACCAGATTCGCTGCCTTTCCTTCAAGGGTCTCCCAGACTCTCAGCAGAGGGGGGTCACGCCCATGCTAGTCTCTGCTCTGTGCCACACACTCATAGGTTGTTTGGTGCAAACCCAGGCACACTTGACAGCTTAAGCCTGTTGCTATCTGGGGAGGAGAAATTGAGATGTCAGAGCCTTTAGCCAAATCCCTGAGAGATTAAGGTTGTCTGTGTGTTGAGGCAGGACGAGGTAAACAAAGGAGTGTTTTCAACTGATTTTATCTGAACTGATGCCACATCTACATTATCCTGGGATTAATGCCATTTTGAACATGTTTAATCTCAGGAGGTATTTCATGGTGCAGCCTGACCCTGAATATTCATGCTTTAGAGCTGTCATGTTGTAAGGTCTGTGTCCTCTGGAGCCTGCCTCAGCCTGCAGGTTGCTTGTGTCTTCATTCCCTTCTCCCGCCCTCCCCAGGTGGAGTATGGCTCAGACCCCAGAGCGCCTGCCCCCAGTGTGGGTGCCGAGTGTAGGAGGTGGGGGTTGTAGATCAGAGAGGCCACCTAGGCCTCCTGCCACAGAACAGAATGGCTTGTCACCCAACTGCTATGGCCGTACTCACCTGGGACAAAGATGCCACCTGTCTGCAGCGCTGCATTGTGGTTACGGTGTTCAGTCCATCACTCCTTTCTCAGGTTACCTGCTGAGAGGCTCCAGGTGGAATATTAGGCCTCTGTGAACCACGTTAGAGAGCTAGAGTAGTTTTTCTCCCTCCTTCCTGGTGTCTAGACCCCCGTTCACCACTCCTGCACCCCTATCCATGAGGCTGGCCCTGGGTGGTCCCTGTGGAAGGGTCTGGAGGGTATGAGGGCCTCTGGCTCATTTGCATTCCTGACCAGGAGGAAGGTGGGAAAGAAGAGAGCACCAATTATAAGGAAAGACCAGCACTCAAGGTAGAGGTAGGAACCAAAAAGGAGAGAAATGAGTGGTGAAAGATCTTGGCCATATGCATGGCCCAGTGCTTGATGACTCTGCCATTGTAGGCTGCCTTGTCCCACGTTGGCACTGTCTGGCACAGCTAGGACACTCGCTCACCCCTCTGGGTCTGTGTATGAACAGACACACGCGTGCACCGACAGCACAGCTGGGAACATTGCTACCCGACAGATAGGCAGTGCAGCAGGTGGCCCTTCTGTGCTTGGGAGGGGATTCTGCCAGCTCACACTCGTATAAGGGAAGAAAAAATTACCTCTTGCCAAGCTCAACCTAGCTACATTGTTTATAACATTGCAGTTCCCATGAACAGACTGGAAGGGAGAATATGATTTGCCTTGGGTCCCCTGAGATGTCAGCCTTGGGCATGATCCACAGGGGCCCCCATCTTTGCCCACCTTTGGGGTCCCCAGCGTCTCTCTAGGGCCTCCTGTCACTGTGGCCCCCAGGAATGCTGCATATGCTGTTCCATAGAACCTTCTCTGCTTATTTGTAAAGTATTTATTTTGGCTCAAATAGAATAATCCGCGTGTATAGCATAAGGAATTTACCAGAACCATGTCTTGCACCCTCATGGTAGGAAGGGACCCCAGTGGCAGGTGCCCTACACTGAGCTGCAGGGGGGGTGGGGAGTCAGCTCGAGCACTCCAGACATGCTGGGGCTACCTTGGCATTTAACAGCTGCCGTTCTGCCTCTGATTTAAAACCCAAGGTGGAAATTTTCCCTTCCCGCTCACTTAGTCTTGACAGAATTATCCAGAGTACAGTGCTGACGGAGGCAATTCGTTTAGGCCATGGTGAAATCCCTCTCTCCTGTCAGCCGGTGCAGCTGGGCAAAAGGCGCCTGGCCAGCACACACAGGAGGGGACTGAGGGGGGCAGGACCCAGACACCTGAGGCCTGCAGGGAGCAGAGGGCACAATGGTCCCTGAGTGTGGGGAAAAGATCACAGGAGAGAAGGAAGGATCCTTTTAAGAAAAAAGTAAAAATCCAGAAAGAGGCTATCAGGACTCTGTGGAACTCTTTTTGAGAATGAGGGACGAGAAATACAGACTTTATATAAACATGCAGCCACCTAGCACCGTCTGTGTGCCTGGCTACTGCTGGGTTCTCTGGACCAGGGATAAAACATGAAATGACATTGTAAACAAGCTGGTACTAGAGCCGTATAGCTCAAAGCCCATTCTGCTGTTGTCTGCTGTTGACATCAGCTTCCCATAGCAGGTGCCTACATGCAGAGATGGGTTTAGTACCTTCCCTGGCACAGACTGAAGAATGCAGCCATTCGGGGTCACGCTGCACTCTATTCATCTCCTCATTCATTCATTCATTCATCAAATACTTTGGCGTTCCTACCTAGAAGTAGAGCAATCGTGGTTGAAATAAGACCACAGATTCAGAAATTTCTGAAACACGGCTTTTTTACTGTACACACTCTGTGGCATGGTTTTGTTCAATAGACTAGTGCTTATGACCGAAGGCATACACCAGTGGGGCAAATGGCCAGCTAGCAAATACGCCTAGTGCCAGGCTTGGTGGGGTCGGTGTCTCAAGAGAGTTGCAAAAGAATCAGGAGAGAGGGTGACAAGGAGGTGGCATCCAGGCAGGGCCCTGCTGGAAAAGCCCTCATCACCCCTCTGGACTGTGGCCACAGCCTTTCCCCAGCGCCCCAGCCTCTCACCCCTCCCGGGTCAGACTCCACACAACTTCCAGAATGTGGTCATGGTTTAAAGCTCCCGGGGCTGCTTACTATAGATAGAAAGGAAAAGGCAGACCTGGAAGAGAGTCTGCACACACCTCTTCATGCCGCCCTCTCTGCCTTCGAGGCCTTGCCTGTGCTGGAAGATTCGTTTTCCTTCTCCAGGTCCCAGCCCCAGGCGGCAGACCATCCCCTCCCACTAGCATTAGACCCTGTGTCCACAGAGCACTTTGTATAATAAATTTTAGCATCTTCCAATTTCCACCACAGTTATTTGTGTCTAGACTTTGAGCTGTTTGAAGGAACAATTTGTTTATTTTTCCGTCTCAGAATTTAACATAATCTTGCCCATAGCAGACACTCACTGACTGACTCGAATGAATGTATGAATGAATGGACTGGAGAAAGAAAGGTGGAGCCGGGGAGTGCAGGGCTACAGCTAAGAATAGAAAGTAGGGCTGCACTGTGCATTTCAAAGTAATCTTAGCAGACCTGAGTGTTGGAATCAGGAGCGGAAGAGAGAGAACATTTGAGGAGGAAGAGACGAAGGCTGAGGGGTAAGAACAAGGAGGAATTCCCAGGTTTGGAAGCAAAAGTCAGACGAAGACCTAGAGAAGGGTGTAGGAGGCTGGAGGGGAGGAAGGCCTCAGGAGGACACCCCCCCACACACCCGACAAGGAGGACAGGACCCCCAGAGAGGATGTGTGGCCATGTGAGAGCTGCAGGGTGGGAAGCAGGTTGAGGACAGGGCAAGACCTTGGGGCTTGTGGTTCAGTTGTCAGGAGGCTGGAGAGAGCAGCGTTCATCTCCTGGCTGGGTCAGGAACCAGCTGATGAGACACAGGTAGAGGCCATTTGAGTTGAGGGCACAGAAGAAGGAGAACTGGGGCTTTGGGGGACAGTGAGACTCAGTGGAGACTGTCTTTCTTTCAAGCCGTGAGAGCTGCAGGCGCTTCACAAAGCAGCAGGGAAGACATCAGTGGCCAGGGAGAGACTGAAGAGGCAGGAAGGGGACAGGGATGAGTCCAAGAGATGGAGCAGGATTCCCAGGGGACCTGCAGGGAGCAGCCTCAGGGTTGCGGTAGCCAGGAGAAGAGTGAGCCCCATCCCCCGCCACTCGTGCTTGCGGGGAGGTCTGTGGAGGGGAGGCCGAAGGCCCTTCTCAACCCCAGCTTGCAAAGCAGCGACTCCTGTCCCTTGCCCCTCCTTGGTGACCAAGGGACTGAGAGAGAAGAACTCCAGGTCGAACTGGAGGCACAAACAAAAGCAACGCAATTAATGTCCTCCACACGCTGAGCGAGAAATGGGGTATGTCAGGGCACAAAGAACAATGGCATTAATGCATCCTGGATGTCCACACTGTCGCTGTGAAACGGCCCTGGCCTCACCGCTCAGGTGCACTGTGTGTGGAAGGGAAACGCAAAAAGGCGCCAGGTTGGCGGGGGGGAGGGGGGAACTACTGCCTTGGTTTTGTCTGGGGGCAGGCGAAGATTCAGAGGCTGGCTTGTTGGGGACCCTTTAGATTCTATCCTTTTGATGTACCTGTAAGAAGCCACTTATTTAATCCACAGCTTTCCTTTTCCTGCTGAGGAAGGTCATAAATTCTCATCACAGAAACTATGAAAACATAGTTGAAAGGTCTGGGCGTTGAAAGGTAACAAGTGTTGAAAAGTAGGGCAGGGGGATGGACCACAGTTTTGTCACCCAAGGATAACCACTGTAAAAGTGGAAGAAAATTCAACAAACCATGGTTTAAAGACACTATTTCTCTTCTCTCTAGAACATTGAGGAAAACAACTGTGGCTAGTGTTTGGTGTCTGTCACTCTGTCCACAAAGGGAAGGTTATGTTTTTAAAAGACAACAATAGTGTCTACAACATTCAAGCAAATCGGGAAATCAGGTAGTGTGTAAGTACTGGTCCAAAATGATAGGATTATATTAGAGAAATCTTATTTACTTATGTACTTATTTTTATCTCTTTCCAGAAAGAGTTCCCTAAGAGGAAATTGGCTTTAAAATGCACATTGACCTTCTAGAAGCAGTTGCACTTAATTTTTTGTGGCTCTGACTACAGGTGCATCTTTAAAGAGAAAACAAAGTTCCCTAAAGAAAAGTAACAGTCGAACCAGAGGGGCTTCCAGACCTACTTCCCCCACCCCCACCGCCACCCAGGGCCAAAGCCGTGCAGTTTTCTCTGTGTGCAGAAGCAAAGGGTGCACCTGAAGTGGAAATAGGACTGCCTTGCATAACCTTATTCCTTTACCCACAGAAAAAGGTCTGCCTCCTGCAGCTACAGGGCCTGGAGCGAACGGGCAGCCCGCCCCGCCCTGGATCACCATCGCTCGGCAGAAGCGGCGAGGGGCCTCCGACCAGCCGCCCACCCAGGAGGACAAGCCTGGCGCACGGAGCCCGAAGCCTGAACTCGGAAAGCAAGCCAAGCCGCCCGAGAGACCCCAGGTGCTCAGAGCAAATACTTACTGTTTCTGTGGGTACAGGCCCGGGGCTGGGACCCCAGTGGGGACCACACATCCTGCATGGGCATCACAGAACCCGTCACCTGTGATGACTACTGATGTGTGCTTGAGGCCAGTGAAGCAAAATCAATGATTTGCCAAGTTACAACCTCCCTGGTGGAGCAGTCTGCCCGCCCTTCCCCTGTGCTGGACTATTAGGGACTCAGAGAAAGCATGTGAGTCACTCAGACAGTAGGGACACCTCTCTGCTCTGTGCCTCCTAGGCAACACACAATCCATCTAGAAAAATGGAAGGAGGTTAAAATAACTTCTGGGTTAGACACACAGTGAGGATATCAACAGCTCCATCTGTGCTCGTTGTTAGGTAAGGGGCAAGTCCTGCTCTTGCTGCCGTGCCTGGCACCTGCTGGGGCTCCCTATTCCCCACTTTGGCTGCAGGGCTGGAATCTGGGGTTCCATTTTGCACTCTGGACTGAAAACAGTTTTCACCAACCCAAACTACTATGCTTAGAAGCAGCCTGAGACTCACGGCTTTTGTATTTCCCCAGTAGCGTCAGGGTAACTCCAGAAGTGTGCTTCCGCCGTGGCGGGAGGGGGCCTGAGCCTGCAGCCTTCATCTTAACCCAAACTTCAGCTGTACCCAGACTTGAAGATGCTCATGCAGGCTTGGGGGATTTGAACACGACATATTAACCAGTTTGGGGCATCAGTGATCGTACCAACTGTCATAAAAACCACAAAACTTATTTCCAAACACACACAATTCATTTTGATTGCAAATGGAATCCCTGCCGTCCAGCCTCTGGGACTGAGGCCAGGGGTGGGGACAGGGAAGAAGCCGTGAAGCACGTGTGGGTCTGGGATAAGGCCGTGTGCTGGTCTGAGCCCCTTCTGAACTCTGCACCCGATGTCAGTGAGTTGACACTCCAGAGTTCTCCCAAGAAAGTGTCAGTGGCACAGTTTGTCCTGGGGGAGACACTTTGTGGCTCGTTCACGTGGGTTGTGTTTGCCTCCCATCTGAATCACAGGTGTCTTTCTTGTGTCCCAGCAGGAGCCCGTGAAGCACCTGGACTTCGTCCGAAGCAAGTCGTTCCTGATCACCCCTGCGAAGCCCCCCCTGGAGCGGAGGCGGGGGGTGGAGCTCAGCCTGCAGGAGGGGCTGCAGAGAGGGATCTCGCTGTCCCACCAGAACCTAGGTGTGCAGTCTGCAGATAGTACCAAACACCTGGGAATCACTTCTGGAGTTGTTCCTACAGTTTTGGGTTTGGGGCCTTTGTTCTGTTTTCCTGAATTACTTGCCACATTGAGTTTTTTTACACAGCTTTTATTGGGATATAATACAATTTGCATGTCATAAAACCCACCCATTTTAAATGCACAGTTCATTAAGTATATGGTTGACCCATAAACAACATGGGTTTGAGCTGTGCAGGTCCATAAATAAATAATATTTATTTTATAAATATTTAAAATATGTTTATATATTAAAATATTATAATTTTTTTCTATCAAAATTCAGATAGGAAATATTGTATTCTCAGTCTGCAAAACCTGAGTATACGAAGGGTTGACCTTTCGTATATGCGGGTTCTGCAGGACCAACCCAAACTTGGGTTTATTTTGGTATATGCAGGAGAGGGGGGTCCTGGAACCAATCCCCCACATATACCGAGGGACAGCTGTATATTTGCAATGAGTATGTATTTACAGAGTTGGACCACCATCATGACAATCTCATTTTAGAACATCTCCTTCACACCAAAAAGAAACCTCATGCCCATTAACAATCATTCCCCACTCCCACCCCTAACTCTAGGCGACCATTAATCTACTTTCTGTCTCTATAGATTTGCCTTATTTGGACATTCCTTATAAATGGAATCATAAAATAGGTGCCCTTTTACATCTGGCCTCTTTCACTGGAGCGTAGTTTTTCAGGTCCATTGCTGTTGTTGCCTGTAGCAGTATTTTTTAAATTTCATATATATATATTTTTTTTATTTCGGCATATTATGGGGGGTACAGATTTTAAGGTTTCAATAAATGCCCATTTCCCCCCTCCCCCCAAAAGTCTGAGTCTCCATCATGACCATCCCCTAGATGGTGTGCATCTCACTCATTATGTATGTATATACCCGCCCCCCTCCCCCCTCCCACCTGCCCAATACCCTATTACTGTAGTACCTATGTGTCCACTTAGGTGCTACTCAGTTAATACCAGTTTGCTGGAGAATATATCTGGTGCTTATTTTTCCATTCTTGGGATACTTCACTTAGTAGTATGGGTTCCAGCTCTAACCAGGAAAATATAAGATGTGCTATATCACCATTGTTTCTTAGAGCTGAATAGTACTCCATGGTATACATATACCACATTTTATTAATCCATTCTTGGATTGATGGGCACTTGGGCTGTTTCCACAGCCTTGCAATTATGAATTGTGCTGCTATAAACATTCGAGTGCAGGTAACAGAAACGTGCCATCTTAACCATTTGTAAGTGTACAGTTCAGTAGTTTTAAGTATAGTGACACTGTTGTGCAGCCCATCTCCTGCGTTCCCGCAGTGTTATTCCAAAAGTCTTTCCTCACTGCATACCCAGAACTGTTTGAGCCTCCCCTTAAGCTCTTTTATCACATATATTACGTATCCTTTCCCCAAGTCTTTTTTACATGCTTACATGTTCATTTTATGTTTGAGAACACAGTTAAGACAGCGACGTATATTTCAAGAAATTCAAGAAGCTTAAGCGAAAACCCAAACTCGTTTCTCATGTTTCTGTTTGCTCTGTCTCCTTTCCAGCAGCTCAGTCTGCAGGGATGACGGAGAAGGAATTGCATCAGCTGAAGAGAGCCAGTTATGCCAGTGCAGATCAGCCCTCCTGGATGGAACTTGCCAGAAAGAAATCTCAAGCTTGGAGTGACATGCCCCAAATTATAAAATAGGTTGGCAGTGTGCTGATAAAGCATGTCCACTGTCTTGAAGGGTTACTTAGTTAAAAACTGCCAGTAAATCATGGCAAACAAACTGTGAAACTGAAGATTGATTTTATCATCTAGTTATGATGAGCTCGGGGAAGAGGAAGGAACCAGGCAAAACAGAGAGGATAAACACACAGCCATAACCCTGGGCCAGAGGGGCCCAGAAACAAGAACAACATTGAAAAAAAAAAAAAAAATCCAGGAACAAGTTCCTGTGCCCAAAGGTATGAATGTGAGTCTTTTAGAATTCCCTTGATAAAGAGGCCTCAGACAAGGAAGAAACCAGAAATGAAATTGGACACATAGCTAGGATGCCCTGCAAGACCAGAAGAGCAGCCGTTCCCGGAGAAGAGCGTCTGCACTTGCACTTGAGATCAGCCCATGTCTCTGGCCGCTATCTTGCCTGTGGATTCTGTCTTCTCCTTTCATGTTTACTACTAGGCATGACATTCGTGGTAAAACAGGGATGCCGTTTCCAAGAGCAGCTACAAAACAATCTGTTTCCCTGAAGATAGCCACTCTGAGAAGGAGAGGAGGGACCATAGCAGGGTTCATCAATTCATAGACTGTTTCCAGCAATTTAAAAATTGTTTAACCGATTTTTAAACTTTTCCACTAGGCATCTGTGTCCTTAAACCATTGCACAATGCATTGCCTGTTTAATAAAAGGTTTCAAACATGCCTCTGTTATTTGTGTAAATGTTGTTTCTACTCACATTTAGAGAACATCCTCCAACACTGAGTTCAATGCGGCGAATGGAGTTTCACTTCATATATACCTCATTTCAAATCTCAACTGGGTTGATTTTAGAATTTTTAGATTTTAGTTTTTTGAGGTTTTTTTTTAATCTGATAAAAATGTTGGTATTCATTTTTGGAAGACAGAAGGTAGTGTGGGGTATTTTTGGTCTTTTCATCTATTTGGTACAACATATTAATATATAAAATTTGCTAAGAAGTTATTCTTTAGCATTTAATTAATCTAACCGGCATATTTCTATTGAAAACTGGTTGCCAGTGCATTAGCCAGTATGACTCATGAATCCAGAATGTGGAGAAGCCAGGAGAAAGGAAGACTCATTCGAAATCACAGAATTGTTCAGCTGGGCATGGTGTGGCTCATGCCTGTATTCCCAGCAATTTGAGAGGATGAGGCGGGAGGATCACTTGACCCCAGGAGTTTGAGACCAGCCTGGACAACATAGTGAGACCCCATCTCTGCCAAAAGTTTTTAAAAATAAAAAGAATTATGTCTCAGTTATATAATTCCTCTGTATTAAAAAGAAACCAGTTTCAGTTTGTTCCTTTGAACAAGCTAATCTCCATGGGGATATGTATATCTGGGGGTATTTAGCCAGCAGAATCATTACAACTTCACGATATATTGTAATATGATTTTATATACCCTAGGGTCTTGCTGCTTTTATTGCATTTTCCATCTTCATGAATATTATTTTTCTAGCTGTTAGTACTATACAAGTTGATCAAGTCTACATATGTTGAAAAAAATCCTGGAACAATTTTTTCCCCAATGAAATTGATTTATTATTAATGATTGCATTCTCTTAGAGAACGTCAGTACTGAATTCCATGGCACGTATGTTCTGAACAAGAACTCCATCCATCTAGCCTTGCTCCAAAAGCTTAGACATGAATAGTTTGTTAAAAATTATTTATTTCAGGATATTATGGGAGTATAAACATTTTGGATATGTGTTACGACTTTGCCACACCCAAACCATGATTTGGGGTGTGCCCCCCCCCCACAATGCTCACCAGGTTCATTAGTTGTGAGTTTACCCACCTAATCCCTGGAGAATATTACTATCGTGTGAGCACCATAGTGTTGATCAGTTAGTGCCAATTTGATGGTGAGTACATGTGGAGCCTATTCTGTTCTTGTGACACCTTACTACAGAGGATAGGCTCAGGCTCTATCCAGGAAAATATACGAGGTGCTAGTTCACTGTCATTTCTTATAATTGAGTAATATTCCATTGTATACATATATCAAAGTTAAATAATCCACTCATGAATTGACGGGCACTTGGGTTATTTCCACATTCTTGCAATCGTGAATTGTGCTGCCAAAAATATTCGGGTACAGATAGACATGAATAGTTTAACTGGAAAATCACATTGGCTGTTATTCTCCCAAACCATTATTTCTCCTATTTGTAGAACACTTCAGATTAAACATTTTGAGGCAGTAGATATCAGTGTAAGATCAAAAGTATTTGGTTCAGTTTTATTCAAATAGATGTTGATATTCTCTGTGTGTTTCAGGATTTGGTTTAATTTTCTCTGGCACCTGGCGAGTGAGAAGGGTGCAGGTTTTTAGGACAAGGGGAGAATTCACTGGGGGGGGGAGTCCCTTCTGCTGCAACCCTAATGCTGTGACAAGAGAAGCTGAGACAGTGACCAAAACTGGGGCATGATTGGGAAGTCGGAGTGACACAGAGATGGAAAAAGCCTGCAGGGAATTACCTTGCTTTTTCTAAGAAGAGAGATAGCAGTGCTCTCCACTGCTCTGAGTGCTGCGTGTGTGTTATTTACAATCCTCATCATAGTGCTTTGGTGCTCAGAACTTATCTCCACTTTGCAGGGGAGGAAACTGAGGCATTGGGAGAAAGATCCCACAGCAGGAGCAGAGGTGAATCTGTATCCTCAAAGACAACACAGACATGGGAGTGCTGAACTTGACCTTGAGGGCTTCTATGTCATGGAGACACCCTCATCCTTTCAAGTCCTTAAAACTGAAGAAAGTGTGAGGGGATTTTTTTTGTGGTTTTTAATCATGAGCACCTGCCTGGACTATGCAGCTTTCCATTCATTCCTTCATCCAGGTGACACTTCCATGTGGACACTTTACGGGGGCCTGTGGGCACCTGATGAGCAAACAAGTAGCAACCTAATCTTGGGGCACACAGGTTTTTCTTTTTGGAGTGGGGACACAATAAATAAATATGCAACACAAAGAAGAAAACAAAGAAAAACAGCAACATGTGTAGTGACGAACCTAAAACAGAGGGATGTGGCCATGGCAGAAGGGCCACTTCAGGTTGGTGGTCAGCGTAGGGTTTGCTGAGGAGGTGACTAATTATAAACACAATCATAGAGGCCTGGTCTAAGGTAATGGTGGAGGTGGAGAGGAGCAGATGGATTCAAAATACACTTTAAAGGCAATGTCAAATCCAACAATTCCAAAGGTGGGTTTGATGTAGTGTGAGAAGGAAAGTGTAGAGGTAGAGATGACATTTAGATTATTGGCGGGTGCTCCCGGATGAGTAGAAATATCACTTACAGAAATGGGAGTGGAGGGCAAAACCCACAGAAAGGAGTTCAGTTTTGGACACCTTATTTTTTTTTTTGAGACAAGAGTCTTGCTCTGTTGCCCAGGCTGGGGTGTAGTGGTGTCACCGTAGCTCACTGCAACCTCAAACTCCTGAGCTCAAGTGATCCTCCTGCCTAAGCCTCCCAAGTAGCTTGGACTGCAGGGGCACACCACCATTCCCAGCTAATTTTTCTTATATTTTGTAGAGATGGGGGTCTCACTATGTCACCCAGGCTGGTTTTCAGCTCCTGGCCTCCGAAGTGCTGGGATTACAGGTGTGAACCACCACACCAACCTGGACATTTTAAATTTGAGATTCCCTTTAAGCATTCAAGTAGAAATATCAAATCGGTAGATCGAGTTAATACAGTTGAAAGTTGTCAGCATTTAGATGAGATGGGAATTCAGGAGTCTAGAAGAGGAGGAGAAGAGGGTCAGGATTGATCATAGGACACTCCAATACTAGAGATCTGAGAAAGGGAAGGCAGAAAGGGTCTGTGAAGGAAGGGTAAAGCAGGCAGGAGCCAGGCAAGAGGAAAGGGTTCGAAGAAAGAGGGAAGAATCAGCTGTGTTGGCTGGAACTGCTAGAGACCCCTCCAGATGAGAACAAGAGTGGCCATCAGTTTTTGGAACACGGAAGTCATAGGTGACCTGACAAGAACCCTTTCAGTAGAAAGTTGGGGGCAAGAAGCACAGGTAAGGTAAGTCGAAGCCAGCCAGCCTGTTGCTACATCAGCTATAACCAACTTTCAAGAAATTCTTTGTGAATGGGAGAAGAAACGGCAGTAGCTAGAGGTGGGGGTAGCCGACAGAGGGTTTTTTGTTTTTCCATTTGTTAGAAGAGGTATACAAGAGTGGTTTAGGGCCAGGCATGGTGGCTCATGCCTGTAATACCAGCTACTCAGGAGGCTGAGGCGACATCCCTTGAGACCAGGAGCTGGAAACCAGACACCCCCCTTCCCCTTCTCAATAAAAATAAGGTTTTTTTAAAAGTGGGTTTATGTGTGGATGGGAACAAACTTGTAGGAGATAAGGGAACATTGCTGAATCAGGACGTTCTGAAGCGAACCTCACTGCCCAGAGATTCAGACAGGGATGAAATGCCCACACCTGTAAGTTGTTCTTACTCTTCCTGGAAATAGGAGCCCCATGTTTTGGTCCAGCTGATAAGGAAGGGCCCACTGTGATGACAACATGGTCAGGTCCTTACCCTGCTTGCCCTGGCTAAATTGTGGTCACTGACCAATTTTCCTCTCCTTCCTTTGCGTGTTAGTGCTAAGCTGTCCTATTCAGGGAGAATGGTATGGAGTGTTATTTGCGTGTACAGAGCTCTGATAGCCCAGGGCACATTAACAGCACACGTGGCTTATACCCCAGGGTTCTCCTTTCACCTCACAGAGCTCAGTAAAATCAGCTTAGACGCCAGCAGATTCTATGCTTGGGAAAATGCAAAGCTTTCCCCTTGATTCCGGGGTCTTGTGTTCCCACAGCCCCGTTTGCACCTGGGACCACGCATTCGTGGTGGTTGTTGCTGTCTTTCTCCAGAACTTGGCCCCTTCAGCGGTCTGCAGAAGCACTCCATGCACACCTGGCATTCTTTGTCCTGGTCAAACCTATTAAATATTTTGGGGTAAGGTCACAAGGAGGGGACGCATCCCAGAGGACATAGCCCTCCCTACCTTCCCAGTCCCACAGCTCCACCTGCCCCCAGCAGGACACAGAGCCTTTCGCTCTCTCAAGGACATGAGGCCTGCCTTGGGCTCACACACCACTCCAAGCAGCTTAGCAGAGAATTACTTCAAAACAAATGGAGTCTTCTCACTGAAAGTAATTGTGATGAATAAAATTTTCTCCACCTGATTCAAGCCTGTCCTGTGATTAATGCTTAAAACCACAAGAAACAGGATCCCTCCTGTGTTGTCACATTTCTCAGAATGACTGAGCCCTGAAGATACTCTTCTTCCCTACTCCTCCCAGGTTTGAATAAGCTGCTCTGTAAGATGACAGGCGCCAATTCTAACACGGGCGAGGCTGCCAATTTGAGGATAACCAAGTCCTCCTCACACATGCTGAGCAAAGCACACTCTTTCATCTGGCAAACGGGAAGAAGAAAAAGCAGGGAGCAAATATATGTGCCCCTGAAAATTTAAGGAAAATGCAGTCAGGGAGGTGGACTCTAGATTTGTATAAATTTTATTTTGTTTGGGTTTTTTTGAGATAGAGTCTCACTCTGCTGCCCAGGCTAGAGTGCCATGACGTCAGCCTAGCTCACAGCAACCTCAAACTCCTGGGCTCAGGCAATCCTCCTGCCTCAGCCTCCCGAGTAGCTGGGACTACAGGCATACGC